CTGTAATATGCCTTTATGCTTCACATATTATTCTGTAAAATCTTTTTTTTTTTTGTGAAATGCATTGCTTAAATTATGATTGTGCTACTATCCTCTAAAATAAGGAAACATACATGTGGCTTGTGGCTTAAGTATTCACATAATCACAGTATTTTTTGTGTCTCAAAAATGATTGTTTGGATATCTACAACACGGACATCTGCAGTGCTGGCAAATATACTGACATTTTTTTAGTCTATAATAAGAGTTAAATACCTGATGAGAATTAAAATAAAGTTTCTAAAGTTTCAGTATTTTGAATCTATTGCACTTCATTGCGTTGTCTTTCGGTCACCGTGATTTTGCCAAGTAAGACATGCTCCTGGATCTTTTGTTGTTCCTGGATCAACATTATTGTCCAAAAATATATACCTAACCCTATCCCTACCCCAAACCTAACCCTACCCATAATTTATCCCAAAAATCAGAGGGAAATAATGGTTGAATAACAAGGGTGTAGAAGCACCTAACTCTAAAACTGACATTTCCTGTAAACTTATCCCTCAGTTCTGATTGGTTGATTTGAATGTTGTTCCAGGATCAACATGGATGTTGATCCAGGAACATGTTGCACTTGGTGAAATCACGTTCACCTTGTCTTTTAGGGTTAACAGAAATGGCTGTAAAATTTCTGGATAATGCCCCTGTTGCTTTTGGAGTGACCGACCGACCGGAGTTCCGTCTTTTCCTGTGCACTTGGTGAAATCACATTCACCTTGTCTTTTAGGGTTAATGGAAATTACTGTAAAATTTCTGGATAATGCCCCTGTTGCTTTTGGAGTGACCGACCGACTGGAGTTCCATCTTTTCCTGTTTCCATTATTCTCTCAATTCCCATTCGCCGACCGACCAGAGTTCCGTCTTTTCCTGTTTCCATTATTCTCTCAATTCCCATTCTCAAAACAGCTCGGAAAGGCATTTATTTTAGATAAAAACATATTCTAAAAGTGGAAAATATAGTGCCTAAGGGGGTAGCCTATATATACATAGGCCTACTAATATTTTAGAACTATGTGAAATTGGATGTGACTCATATCGATCAGCTAACTGTTACCATCAAAACCGTGGCTCCCTTCGAGGGAACCACGTGGATTAGCAGGACAGAATTAGGTATAAGAATGTACTTTAGGAACCAAACCCCCAATAAGCTGCATCTGTATATGATTTGAACATGTATAGATCTGTATGTACACTAGCCTAAATGTGTTGTTAGGCTACATGTTTTATAATGCTCTGCTATTAACTGAGGTGCAAATAGTGTCTGCCACTACCCTTACGAAAATTAAGCATGGTTTTACCACAAATAAAACCAAAATAAATAATAATAATAATAATAATAATAATAATAAAATATGGTTAATATAGTTCAACTATGGTAACCACAAATTAACCATGGTTTTGCTACACCAGCCATAGTTTAACCATGGTATTTGTAGTAAAATACGCCAAAAAAAACATGGTTAATGCACTTTTACTACAATAAAACCATGGTTAATTTTCGTAAGGGTATTTACACAAAATAATTATTAATCTACTGTTTACATCTGGTGCAAAGACGTCTTAATACTGTTTAAAGGGATTAATAAACAGAAATAGAAATTACTTAAATATACAATTTAAATATAAACTGGTGACAAAATAATAATAATAATAATAATAATAATAATAATTACTTTCTTTTTTATTGACCAGGAACATGAAAGCACCGCTGTTACTTCATTTACTTTTCCAAGGTAGCCTACAGTGTCTGTTTTTCTCTTTTATACTTAGGCTATTATTGTGCAAGTTGTGTGACAAATGTTCACATACATTTATTCATATAATTTAACAGAAATGCACATTAATTGAGGTTCGGCTTACTCAGTATAACTCAGTAATTCAGTACAAATACCACGTTCTTAAAATCTTACACAGGGCAAACTTTAGTAGTCAAAGCTTATCATAGTCTGATTCACAAAGAGTCATTCATGTTGTATTCAGAAATAAAATAATATGAAGCTATAAAACAGACAGTATTCTCATTTTAATCAGTATTTTGAAAGAAAAATTCAAACGCTACATGTTTTATAATGCTCTGCTATTAACTGAGGTGCAAATAGTGTCTGCCACTACCCTTACGAAAATTAAGCATGGTTTTACCACAAATAAAACCAAAATATCAAACCCACAAGCCAATGTGCAGAAGCATTAGCCTATACAATGTAAAATGTGTGTCTTTGTGGCATTTCGAAGGTGTGTTAGCCTCCCAAGGTAGTGGTGGTAATAAGAACTACAAACCAAGATGTAGGCTCCATAAAAACAACACCCAGATCATCTACCAATACAACAAATAGGCTACTGTTTAATAGTTAAATACTATGACTAAAAAACTGTTGTATTTTCTCAAAATCTTTACATTTTGTTTAATTGGTAACATTTTATTTGGTGACACTATTTACCAATACTAACTGGTAATACATTATATGTAATTATTAAGATTTAATGAAAATTTCAACATTTACTAATGCATTTTTGAAATCAAAAGTTGTATTTGTTAACATTCATTAGTGCACTGGGAACTAACATTAGCAATTGTTTTTTTTATTAACTAAAATTAGCAAAGATTAGCTAATAAATGCTTTCAAAATGTATTTCTCATGTTAGCTAGTGCATAGCTATTGTTAACGATAAGACTTTATTGTAAAGTGTTACTGATTAATTCATTGTATGTATCCATTTAAAAAAACTGATTCTATTTAGCTCTCCCAATATCAAATTTATTGAATCACTACAAAACTTTTTCATACTATTTTGCTCTTTTTATCCAAAGATCAAAATCAACAATGACAAGATTGAACAATCATAAAATTACAGCCATCTTTACACTAAATGTTTGCAGCAGTTATAAAGAGCTGAATCTACTGACATTTATGCAAACTACTAAGATTAGTGTAGCTACTTTATCAACAGTAGTAGTGTCCTACATCAACAGAAATCAGTATAGTGAAATGAAATGCTAATGCCGAAAGACATTCGCTGCCTCAAAGGTTCTTGTCTGGTTATATCATGTTCTTTCAGCTACACATCAAACCCACATAGAGTTGTGTGGTATCAGTGGGTCTCTACAGGTTATCCTTTAGGTTACGATCCGTGGTATCCAAATTATGTCATTGAGAAATTTAGAGGAAATACATATTTATATGGTGACCCATCAAGCAGGGACTGTAGTTTGCTGATCAAAAACCTTGAACAGTCTCACCATGAAGAGAAAATATACACATGGATTGACCCTGAAAATGTTGGATGGTGCACCTAAACATTTTTTGACGTCACCTCTACAATTCTAGTTGATGGTAATTAAATTATTTGTTCAATAAATTTGCTAGACTCCTTTTCTATTTATGAGAGTGTGTTGCCTAATTGTACATTTCTGCTATTTGTAGAAGCTCCACAGAAGCCCAACATCAGTATTTATGGAGGTGAAATACAGATGACACCATCACAGTAGAATGTTCAGCTTTTCACACGTGTCCATACAGCAAACCAAACATCCCTCTGAACGGTAGAAAGATCTGATGAAATGAAAGATGAGTCTATTAAAGACGCCATGTGAAAAATCACTCTGACACGCACAGGTATCTTAAAGACAGAAAACCCAACTATTGAGTGTTCAGTAACACATTATGGTGGCATAACAGTGAGAGTAAATGGAAAGAATTTGACATGCACTTCAAAATTTTCTAGAGGAAACGCTGAAACCTGTGTTGTTTTACATGTAGGCTATACAACGAGTAATTTGTTAGCGCCATGTATGATGTCTCAAAATCGGCCCTCTGTAATGTCTGCATACTAAATTATGGTTGATCTTCTTTCTTGCATTTGTTTGTGAGAATGAGATCAGCTTGTGCATTTTTTAATATGATTGGTCAAACTGTACTTTAGAAACTATTTCATTATGTGTTCATGATTTACAAGAGACAACACAGGCATCTGTTTGTATGACTTATTCTCATCCTTCAGAACATCTGTATTTAGATTTGAGGTCTGTATCTCAAACTGGAAACCAAACATAAAGTGAGGTCCTTAAGGCATTGAAACCAAATTTTGTGCATGTCATCACCATCCTAAGAGTACCTGAGCAGCATGTGGACAGTGCCACCTAGTGGTCAAAAAGCTTAAAAGTTAACTTTTTGAAAAAAAAAGAAAAAAGAAAGAAAGAAACGTTTTTGGTCTGTTTAATGACAAACGTATGTCCTTGGATTCATGGACATACCGAGTAAATCCCTGCCTACATTGCATTACTATAATACTGAGACCTGTCATATTTGTAAAAAGAAAGAACTCCTACAATGTTGTCAGCTTTAGGCATGTAACATCCAACTCTCACAAGTGAGGTCATGAGTTAAGACAATGAAGTATATTTTTAATACATTTAATACTACGTCTTTTTCACCTGGGGAGTGATTCCCCACCCAAGTGTTGTGTGTTCCTTGGGGTCATTTTGTATCTTTTGCAACATGTACAGTGACTAAAATAAGTCTTTTACCACAGTAAAGTGACTTTTACTTGTGATACTGGACTGTTGTGCTTTTATTTTCATTGCCGTTCTTTAAACCAATTTTTCTCAAAATTCTGTTCCTGAAAATCATAGTGATCAGCCAACTTCAGATAGCCATAGCCTTTGATAGTTCAAGATATGGACGAAATATAAACAGTTTTGGAAATGGCTTGATACTAGATTCTTACCCAATCCATTTGTTTGAGCAGGGGACCAAGAACGGTAGAAAACAAGGAAATTATAGGCTATGTTAAATTTAAGCAAAAGACATGAGTAATCTCGTTTATTTTGAAGCCACTTTCACTTCTCTGTATGGTAGATTCTGTTGGTTACAGGGAACAGCTGACGACAACCAAAGATAGGCAGAAAGTACAAAAAACCCTGCAATTTAATTGGTATACCAGTTAAGTTCCCTAAACGGACATTTCAATTCTTAAGAAGTGCTTGTTAGAATGCTATATTGCCTGCTATTTGCATTTCATCTGTACCTTATAAAACGGCAATCGGGAATATGAGAGGACATTTGTTACTTCATTTAATTTTTCAAGGTACAGTATCTGTCTTCTTTATTATTTGCATTTCTGCTGCTGTTCATTTATTCATCCAATTAAATGAAATCATTAACTTAAGAATGATAAATGCTACATGCGTAAAAGTGCAGCAAAATTCCAATATTTCCAAAAAACATATGGGCAAGGAAGTCAATAACACTTCAGAAAACAATATAAACTATTCAAATTACTGTTGACCAGAATTAAGAATTCATTGTTAATAATTACACCCTTGAAACACTGTTTGCAACAGTCACAAATACTAATACTAGCAAATCTACCGATATTTTTTAGTTTGCTATTTTTCATACAGTAATATTATTCTAATAATAATAGCAGTAGTAATAAAACTATAAAGCTGAATATAAATAAGACAGCTTAAATACTCTGCCATTAATGTTCTCCAATATTTGCCCAACAGTTGTTCTGCTGTATGGCGCTTTGGCATGGGAAGTGAGAATGCCAAAGGAAATCCATGGCCTCAAAGGTTCTTGTCTGGTTATACCATGTTCTTTCAGCTACACGGCATACCCACCCGCAAATCCACGTAGAGTTGTGTGGTATCAGTGGGTCTCTAAAGGTTATCCTTTAGTTTACGACCCATGGTATCCAAATAATGTCATTGAAAAATTTAAAGGAAATACTGATTTATATGGAAACTCAAGCTGGGATTGCAGTCTGCTGATCAAAAACCTGGAACCATCCCATCATGGAGAGAAATTATACACATGGATTGACCCTGAAACTGTTGGAAAGAGCACCTACTCATTTTATGATGTCTCTTCTACAATTCTAGTTGATGGTACATAAATACTTTGTTCTTCAAATTCGCTTGACTCCCTATCTAGTTATGAGAGTGTGTTGCCTAATTGTGACATTTCTGCTATTTGTAGCAGATCCACAGTTCCCCAGCATCAATATTTATGGAGGTGAAAGATCAGGTGAAACCATCACAGTAGTGTGTTCAGCTTTCCACACGTGTCCATACAGCAAACCAACCATCACTCTGAATGGTATAGAAGGATCTGATCAAATAGACAATGAGCATTTTAAAGACGGCCTGTGGAAAATCACCCTGACACGCACAGGTGTTGTAAAGGCAGAAAGCTCGACCATTGAGTGTTCTGTAACCTATCATGGTGGCATAACAGTGACAGCTACAAAAGACAAAAATGCACAGTGTAAGTGATTTATGCATATATGTGGATTTTTTAAGTCATGGGCTTTTTGGATCATTATTATCATTTCAGTTGTGTGCTAATAATATTGTCTAAATGTTTTAGCCCGTGTCCATAAAGATGCAGACTCGACACACACTGGACTGAAGACTACTGGGCTTTACATACTAGCTCCAACACTTGTGTTTCTCCTCACTTGCATAATTACTGCATTCATCGTATACAAGAAACGGCACCGGTAATTGTTTGTGTGTGTATGTTACTTTAGGCTAACATTAATTCTTCATAAATGGACAGTTTAGAAGTATTTCTCTTTAATGAGCATTTTTAGCTTCTCACATTGTCATTACCGATTGTAGACAGCCTCTTAATGATATGCAAGGGTCATTAACACCATTTGAAAAGAGGTATGTATGACATTCACCTCTTTAGTCATTTATTCTCTTAAAAAAAAACATTGATTAACATAAACTAGCACAACACAAAGGAAACAAGCCACAACACAACAGAAACAAGCCACAACACAATGAAATTAGCACAACACAATGAAAACAAGCCGCAATACAGCAAAATTAGCACAACACAATGGAAACAAGCGGCAACACAATGAAAACAACCGCAACACAATGGAAACAAGCCACAACGCAATGAAATTAGCACAATCAAATGGAAACAAACTACAACACAATGGAGCCAAGCTGCAACACAACGAAATTAGCTCAACACAACAGAAACAAACCCCAACACAGCGAAATTAGCACAACACAACAGAAACAAACCCCAGCACAATGAAATTAGCACAAAAGAACAGAAACAAGTCGCAACACAATGGAAACAAGCCACAACACAACTAAATTAGCACAACACAATGTAAACAAGCCACAACACAATGGAATTAGCACAACACAATGGAAACAAGCCACAACACAGCATAATTAGCATAACACAATTAAATTAGTTCTATGCGTTGTGTTGTGGAGATTTTGTTGTGTTGCACACTACTGGTCCACCGCACAATTCGCTCAAAGATTTGTCCATTGGGGAAAAAAACAAGGGATTGTCTTTATAAGTGAGTCATTGAATCATTCATTCAGCCAATTCGTTTAAAATCAACATATCAGTCAGAAACAAGACAGTAAAATGACTGTATTTATGAGTGAGCCATAGAATCAGTCCTTTAGCTGATTTGCTTAAAATGATTATTAATTCAAGAGCACCACATTATGTGCAGTGGCTGATTCTTGGCGGTGCAAAAAAAAAGAAAGAAAAAGACAAAGAAACTGGCTTGTTTAAATGTTGGCACCAAAGCAGTAACACTACAATCATGAAAATCAAACAACAAATGGTTTACTAATAGTTGGCTTTACACATTCAGATGGGATATTTACCATCAAAAATCCCACTGACACACATTATACTATTTATGACATCACAAATGCTTGCCAGAGTCTTAATTAGGCCTATTAAAATAATATTATTTAAATAAAACTTTTCTGTTCGCAGAACCAAACCTCGTATGCCGTCACCAAAGAGGTACAAGTGCATTTGAACCACATTTGTTACACAGCAAAATAAGACCATTATATTCAGTCTTTAAGCAGTGTTCAAGTTTCTTTACCACTTCAAAAATTCTTTAACATAACAGTTGCCATAATGAAAGCAGATATTTATGTGATTTTTTAAAATTATATTTCACCATGCACCGCAGTGAGCCAAAGTCCTACTCAGTGAGTATGCCATTATTAAACAGTCAAATACATATTCTGATTCTATGATTTCAAATGCTGTCATGAAATACTGTATGTTGTTGGCTGACCTCTGTATTCTTGTTTTTTCCTAAAATATATTAAGGGTCATGATTCTGATGCTGAATACACCAACATGGACGAACTCAACATGTATGGAAACATCTGATGATAATGAACAACACAAAGTTCAACACAGTGTTTTTTAAATGCTCAATATAAATACATAGATCAGATTGTATACTTTCAGAAATAGTCAGTCTTTTTTTCTTAGTCAAGATGCTTGTATTGAGTTTGCTGTTGACCTGCATTTATTTTACATTGATGTTGTTGTCTCTGCTCTACTCTGCTATTGATCAATGTTTTCCAGCATATCTGTATGAGAATATAACCATAAATATAGCATTAAAACAGATCAGTATGTGCCTTCCATTCTAGCAGCTAGCATAAATTGGAGGGACATTCTCCTTCTAGACTACAGCATTTGATTAGAAAAAAAATCTGTAGTGCAGGATGAGTTTATATTATATTGTTATGCTTGCTGTATATCATCCTTAACTAATCTGCATTTGTTCCAGACATTAATAGACCAAAGTGTGTGGTAGATGTCAGTAATGTCAGTAACTTTCTGTTGTAGTCAGAGACTGACCAACACTGCATGCATGCACAAAATTTGACTTTAGGAGAATGAATTTGCCATAAAGAGAAGAAACACCACATTTATCAGTTGTATTCACTGCATTTCCAGACAGATCATAAAACTATAGTTTTCTTTCCAAAAATTCATATGATTATGATTTTTAATTGACTTTGATTCTGTGTGTTTATGAGCATTTGCAGTTTGTAAATATATTGAAAGACTGAGTGCTAAGGAGGGGAACAAGTTAATGCCTTTATGTACATAAGGCCCATTTAGAGGCGTAGATTTAGGGGGGATGCTAGTTTGAAATACAGTGTTTGACAAAACAGAGCAAACGGAAAAAGAAAGCGTGATCTATGGCAATTATTAGCTCTCTATTTAAAGCACACGAACAGAAAGACAAATGTTGTGCTGAAAGACGCACAATACTACACAGTCTTCCAGCCTAGGATAAAGTCATTATGTACTTTAACAATAATTTGGGACAAATATAATGTGGATTTATGGTAAACTATGTGGTGCTCTGTGGTGTGGCAGGGTTTGAAACAGCGTCCTGGATCGTCGTGGACAGTCTTTAACTTTAACTTAATGTTTCTCTGCTCTCATGACCCACCAATGTCAAAATCAAACCTACGTCCTTCGGCACATCAGAGGTCAAAGGTCAGTTACAGTAATTAATTTATGCTGTAAGTCTGTAGAACGGTAGTAATGTTGCAAACGGTACATTTTGTGTGCGGCTTTATACATTAATGCAAATTTGTTTCACAATTTTTACACAATCATTGACAGTATATTGCTACTGAATTAAATTTATGATTGTGATTAAACCAAATGTTCTCAGAGACAATCATCTTTGTAACAATGATTGTGAAAGGAAACACCACTTGTGTATTATAAAGATCTTAAAGGGGTCCTATTATGCTCTTTTACAAAGTCTTGATTTTGTTTTGGGGGTGTACTAGAACAGGCTCTCACACTAGGTTGTTCGAAAAACACATTATTTTTCACATATTTTACATTATTACAACACCTTTCTCCCCAGTCTGGCATGAACGGCTCCAATAGTTCCTGTATCAAATGAAGGTCCGCCTTCTGAAATACGAAAAGTGCTGTTATTGGTTAGCTGGGCCAGTGTGTGTTGTGATTGGCAGCACTCGGTGCCTGGTCGGGAAATGTCACGCCCCTTAACATAGCCGCCTGCGAGCTGCAGTGTAAATATTGCATCAAAATCAAATCAATTTGAGCGCGAATTAAACCCGGATGATTGTAACCACTCCAAGTTCGTCTGCCTTGGGAAAGCTAGCGTGTCTCCGTCTTAGTGATAACACTCGTTGCCTTCTCTAGTGCAGCTCAACCAGGTCTCGTCCCATTCGTCGGTATTTGTGATATCACAAATCCCGGAAAATATGCGTTGTAGTCCAAACGAGTCGTTCGTTGTAGTTTTTGAAAAGTGATTTCTGTTAAATAAAATATCTCCTTTTGAAGTGGACTTTGAGCTTTGTAACTTTGCAGATCTTTTTTATGCTCAAACAGCAACATTACAGACTAACTAAAGTTGAAAAAGTGAAAAAGCATAATAGCACCCCTTTAAAACAGACCCTCTTGACAGAGTCATGATTGCAAATTGTGGCATTCTTGTCAGGTAATACTATATTTGACTGAGGTGTCACAAAACAAGTGTGTTGATGTGATGATTTTAGACACTATTATTAACATTTAACTTTGGTTTTTGTTTATGTATTGACCCAGGAACATGAAAACATCTGCTTCTACTTCATTTACTTCTCCAAGTTACAGTGTCTGTTTTCCTCTTGTTTTGGGGCATGTTCTGTCACAATAAATGTTTATACCCATTTAGCTAACACTTAGTTAACGTTAGTAAATGCATTAGTTAACATGAACTAACAATGAACAACACATCTGTTCAGCATAATGTTTCATGTTTAACTTAATCTTTGTTAATGCTAACTTATGCATATACTAACAAGTTATCAGTTAATGTCAGTTAATGTTGGACTAGTGTACATTTTCACAAATTGTTCACAAATTCCCTTAGTAAATGCTTTGTTAGTGGTAAGTCATGTTAATAAACAGTCTACAAACATGAACAACATATCAGTTGATGTTCAGATGGTTTCTACTTTTAGAATTAAGTTTACCAATAGCCCAAATCAGTGCCCAAATGTTGAGTTAGCATTGTTCATCCTTTGTGTGTATTAGCTGCTACATAATAAACGTACATGTATATATGTAGTATAAATTAGCATTACAAAACATTAAATAAAGCTTACAGGCATAGTTCATTGTAAGTTCACGTTAACTAATGCATTAACCAACATTAACTAAGTAACATGGGCTGGAATTGGGAACCTGATGTAGCCTATTGTAGTAATGTTGTCTCTGGTCTGTGAGTGTAAATGCGTTCAGGGGGCGTGGCTTTGGACGGCGATTGCAGGAAGGGTGGGACGTTCGCTTTCAGTGCTATCAGGCTAAAGTTAGCATTTTCTAAGATCTCCTATTGTACCTTTAATGTGAAAAGATGCATTAGTGTATGTGTAAGTTAACATTAACAAAAAATTAAGTAATCCTGAAAAGTAGCATTGTTCACTGTTAGTTCATGCTAACTAATGCATTAACTAACGTATTAGTATATGACTAACTTAACATGAACAAAGGTTAAGTAATGCTAAATAGATGAGTTGTTCATTGTTAGTTCATGTTAACTAATACAACCTTATTGTAAAGTGTTACCCATATTTATTCATATAATTTAACAGAAATGTATATGATTTTATTTTTTTTTTTCAGATTAGGTTACTCAGCCATCAAATACCACAATCAAATAAAATCACCAAATACTACCCAAAATCTTAAACACACAGGGAAAAACTTTATACACAGCAGTCAAAACCAAAAGATTGCCTACAGTGATTCTCACTAACAGGGTCATTCATATGTCTTATTCCTGAAATAAAATTATATGAAGCTATAAAACAGACACTAATATCCTCAGTTTAATTAAAAGTTTGAAAGAACGAGTTAAACCCATAAGCCAGTGCGCAAAAGCACACATACTGTGTTTGCAGTACATGTTGTTCATGGTCAAAATGAACATGGATAAAAGGTGGGGTAGGTAGTCTAATTTTTTCCAAAAGCATTTTTGTTATACTGGTTGAATGTCTCTTCACTTCCTAATAGCAACCAATAGGCTAATTAAAGTGGTCTAAATATATCAGGACCATAAAATGGTCATCCAATCAATGCATTTGGCCTACCAGCCTGTAAACCTATGTATTTGCATACCTTCATGCAGCAAATAGTGAGAGTGTATGGTGTGGGCGTGGCTACTGATGCAGGTTGAGCCAGAGGGTATTTAGTAGTAGTGGCAAGATGAAGCTTCATGAAGCTTTGAAGCTTTCCAGCCCAATGTGTTGAAAAGTGTTTCATTTGTCGAGGCTTCGATTTGCACTCGGGACACCTTTTGGAGAGAAATAGTGCAAACACTGGTCAAGGATGAATCTTGAATGTGTCGAGCACTAACTTGAACGTAAAACACTGAAGTATACTTCAGTGCTGAATATATGGGGGCGTGGGTGAGGTTTCAGCGATGAGCCCACTGGGAAATGTTCGGGGTGCTCTCGATGCCAATCAGTCTAGGTCTATTTGCATCAATTATTCAATATTTCCTCCACAGCCAATCACCGGCCCCCTCCATCTCCGGGCCCTGGGGCTTCAGCCCTGTCTATCCCTCATGTTAATCCGGACGTGTGTTGACATGGTCAATTTTCACGTGTTCCGTTGAAAGACTTTTGGCCCCGTTTGCCTTCCATACAAACAGTGCATGTTGACTCAAATTTCACACGTTCCTTCCATCGGATATCACTGACTGGCTTTTGTCGCCTTTATTTGCTGTGTGATAGACTGTTAGATTAATCCATATTGAGTAAAAATGTCCAAAGCTTATCATCATAAAAAAAATATTTTTTATCACAATATTGATATATCATTTATCACCCAGCCTTAGTCAGATTAGACCGAATGCGCAGGAAACCTTCAGCCACCATTGGATACCTTCATTGGGGCAGTTGGGCATACAACATACAACATACAACAGTATCACTTTCCTTTTCTTGTTGTATTAATTACTCTAATGAAATGTATATTTACAGTAGAAAATGTTGTGTAGTGTCAGGAAACAGGCTTTTTTTTCTTATATGCCATCACCAAAGGACTTCCTTGTAATATGTATAGCTTCTGTCTAATCATATAAATTTTGATGTTATTATAATTTTTTTTTTACTGTACTGTATTGTGGTGCATGCCAAGTTCATACAATTCTTTGGTAGATGTTTGCTAAAGTGTTGCTAGTTGGTTGCTAGGATATTCTGGGTGGTTGCTAGGCTATTGCTATGCAGTTGCTGGGGTGTGGCTAGAGTATATGGTTGATAGAGTTTGTTCTGGGTGATTACAGACATTCCCACC